GCTCTACTTCAAATAAAAATGCATACCCTGTCTTGTATTAGTAATTCAACTACAATTTGAAAGTTAATTAAATATTGAAAATTGACTAAAAAAATAAATGATACTTTCCCTACAGTCCCTTGTAGAAACTATTTGCAGTAAAAATTACTGTAGCACAATAATATATACCAGATATGCATTTATATAAGAAAGGCCTATGTGAAAAGATAGGTTTTGTGTCAATTTTATATGCCACTTTGAAAACAATTGAATCTTACAATCTTTTTTGAAGAAGTGCTGCATTTTATGTCTTCTACCTAAAAATGTGTCATTTTAACTGAATGGCATGCACTTCCTGCTTGTAATGAAAATACAATTTATTTATATATCCTAATTTAAACCAACCTCCATGAAATGAGAATATGAGGGCTGAAAAAATGTGAACGTATTAATAATCCAATAGATAACACTTTTTCACTGGTTTCAAACTTCTATTGCCTCAGAGTCTTGTCCCAATTGTGTACTGAGGCAGAACATAGAAATGTGTTCTATCATATATCAATGGAACTATTTTTTCTTATGCTGAAACATTTCCATCATATTTCAGAATAAATTACTAGTTTTACAATTCTTTGAAATATTTAGCCAGTCCAAGAAATATGTGCTTTATAATTAGGATTCAAGTGCAGTCTTACGAGTTCAGCTCTCTATCCAGGAAGTAATAGTGCACCTCAGATACTAATGTTTCTACTTCTGACTTAGTAAGTAGGCATAACTTTCTGAGCTTTAATGTTCAATCCATCAAGTTCTTGTTTGAGAAGTGTATGTGTGTGGATGTTGCATATACATGACATTTGCTCCAGCAAAGTATCCTAATGATAAAAGGGGAATAAATTGATGTATTTATTTATGGGACTGCCCATCTCACATTAAGTGATTCAAGGCAACATACAAGGATTAAAAGTACAAACAACATGACATACAACCTTTGGGATTGAAGGATAACACCCTGGTCACACAAACACAAACCCCAAAACAAAACAAAACAAAAAACAAAAATCCACTAATAGTAATAGACCTCACCTAAACCTCTGACCCTGGGGAAATAGGCAGGATTTCAATGCCTTACTAAAGGCTAACAGGCCATCTGAAGCTCTGATGGGATGCAGGCATTGCTACGAAGAAAGCTACAAGATGACATTGTTTAAGTGAAGGGGCCAGAAATATACCCTCTCCTAGATCTGATGGGAAGAGCAAAGGCGGTTGTCCCCCAAATAGCTTGGTCCCATGCCATGTACAACTTTATAAGTCAGTGGTGGCGAACCTAAGAGCCCTCTCTGTGGGCACGCGCGCTGTTGCCAAAGCCCTGCCTCCCCCACGGCCCCCTCCTCACCAGCAGCCCCCTGGAGAGTCACCCCTCGGCGCGGCCTGCGCGGAGTAGTGCAGCCAAGAACATGGCAGCCAGGCAGCAGGGACAAGACTCCGCTTTCGTGCCCCGGCGTGCACAGATGATGCTGCTGGGTGCGGGTGGAGGGTGTGGCTGCCATGGCACTACAGGGCCGCCTGGGCGATCTGTGGCGGGCCATGGAGGCGGTGGGTGACCCTGTGAGTGGGTGGAGCAGGGGCAGGCGATGGAGCAAGTGGGCAGGGTGGTTTTTGGGCACTCGGTCTCTAAAAGGTTCGCCATCACTGTTATAGGTGATACCTGCACAAGAAGCCTATTAGGAGCCAAAGCAGCTTGTGGAACAGCAGTGTACATGAATGTAACAAGAAATATCCCAAATTGCCCATTCTGGACCAACTGCAACTTCTGAGCGCTCTTCAACACAGCTCTATCTAGAGCAGTGGTCCCCAATCTTTATGGCTTGGCGGCCCGGGGGAGAGGGAAGAGGGAAGAGGCCCACTGCTCAAGTGACCTGGGAGTTGGGGACCCCTGATCTAGAGCATGTTACTGTGATCCAAATGGTAGGTAACTAAGGCATAATTTACCTTGGGATCTAGAAATTCTCTCTTCCTATCCATGACTTCCCTCTCCTCATAGAACACCACTAGTGCTCCACTGAGATGAGGGATACTCTTATTGAGATTTTCATAAACCAAGATAAATGACAAGAAAATAAAGAACTGCCAAATATTGTCTTTATCCTTTCTGGTGGCAGAAGTGTTTGGTGAGCGCAGTACCATTTAAGGAACGCTTTTATTGGGCAGGAAGGAAGATGACTGAATTGAAAATTGAACTGAACTAGCTGAAAATCTGATCTACATTACCACACTTACACTAACAGTAATATAGTCACAAATACTGTATAGATTATTTTTTTAAAAGCTCTATTTCAGATATATCCATTTAAAAACATCTATATCAATATAGATTGCTTTAACTTTTCTTACTGAAAAGAATGTACACAGAATGTACACTACTCAGAGTTATTTGTAATTACCACCACATATAAGCCTAATTTATTTATTGTATGTTTATGTATGTGCATGTCTCTGTGTGGGTGGGTGCGTGCGTACACTAAACTGGATTTCAAAAAAAAAAAAAAGCAACTGCTCAGAATGTAACTAATAAACAACCTGGAGATTTAAAATATATCGCAAGTTAAAGGCAATTTATGTCCTGTTCACTTTCTGAAATACTGAAAATAAGAAGAACTGAATATGTAGAAGAACAACAACACTTTCTGATACTGTGTCATGCAGTTCTTATTACATATGTTTGTCAGAGACAGAGGAAGTGAAAGGGAAGGGAAAGACTATGATGCAAGAAGTTAGCGCAAAGAAGCAATTCATACTTCCAAACTTGGCTGAAAGTCACATGTGCTTTTCTGTGCTCAAGAGTACTAAATTTCTATGCAGGAAGAGGTGGTGGAGGATGTGCAAGGATGAATCTTTTTCCTCTGCTTCCTCTAACATGCTGAGAAAAGCTGTATTCAAAATACATAGTGGGTAACTAGTATATTTACCTTCAAAGCAAGCAGTATATAGCTGAAATGTAGAAAGCACCTCTCTAAAACCATATATACGAATCTCTTGTGAAAATGCCCATACTGAAAAACAGTCAAATATGCTTGAATGTACCATTATAAAAAGTAATCTAAAAGGCAAATATTATCTTGAAATTGTGGAAAGTCACTTTACTTCGAAAACTGTTGTTATTAACAGTAGCCTCATATAGTAGTACTAAGTGTAGGGGTTGCTCCTGCGCCATATGAATAAATCCCACTTTAAAATTTGATGCTCAACACAATTACTCATGTGCAACACTACTGCATTAGGAAACATGCAAATAAAGTATGAAGTACAGCAATGGAATAGAAGCAAAGTAAGGTCAGTAATCAAATTAAACACTAATATAAAGCAAGAGTCATAGAATTAAGCTAAATAAACTAGTAAGAGATACTGCTTAGCTATTTTTGTGTGACTTAAATCAAGTCACAGCAAGAGTTCTGAAACATTAATGTTCTTATTTAAATGGGAGAGAGGAGATTTTATACTGCTAAAACATTCATGAACCACGAAACTGTAGACCAACCTTTCCTAATTAACATTTTCCCATTATGGCTTTAACTCCCCAAAATATCAGCAATGATCAAACCCCTTGAGGAATTTTTGGGTTTAAAAACCATAAATCTGGAGGTACCAAGGTTGGAGAAAGCTGCTTTCCAGTATTCAAGCAATAATTGAAATGGCTTTGCATTATTTTTTCTCTTTATACTCCAAATCCAGTGTAAAATTGCTTAAAAGAAAAAATACAGAGGCTTCCTTTTTCCCAAATTATCTCAGAAGAGGCTCATAAAATCATGAAATGTTTCATTTCTATTTTCACATTTATACATTAAAGGTGTGTTGTTATTGATTTATTTTGCATACTGTTGGTATTGATTTGGATCCAATAATACTCCGTGCAAGTAGAAAATCATTTTCATACATTCCGTGTCGATCAATTCTGCTCTTCTATAACATATCTCAGGTTCTAAATACTTACCCTTATATTATACCTAATTCTACACATATAAGGGAGAGGAATTAGTAGAGCAGGCGTGAACAATTACTTTTCCCAAGGGGCCACATGAGAAGCTGGGACTGTTGTGAAGGCCACCACTGTGGGCTGGACAGGGGGAGTTAAAGAGCTGGATGTGGCCCATAGCCCATAAAGAGCTCTGTAGTACAGAATATGTATAGCTAAACTGTTTAGTTCTTTGTAGTCTGTGAGCTTAGTTATTTTCTTGCAGATGTTACTTTATCCAGGTAGATAATATCATCAGTATGAGAGGGCATATATAAATGGACTTTATCTCCATGTGTCTATTGATTACTGATTTCTCTGAGTACCAAAGTTTCCAGAAATTCACTAACATTATTGGATTTAGATTGATTTATAATGTTAACAGTTTACCAGCTGAAATTGTACCTAAGTCTGTTGCGAAACTGTTACCATACCATTTGAAAGATACAATCAAAAACCTAGGAAGGAAACAAACAGCTTAGCACGTATTCCCCCCTCCCCCAGCAGCCAACACCCAATAAATCAGGAAACAGCACCAGATGAACAACCAGGGAAGAAACAATTCCCTAATAAAGGAACCATCAAGGAGGTAACCATATCCCCACCAAGACTGGCAGGTTAAACCACTATATGTAAAGATTCAAAAAAGCCCAGCCTCCTTTGCACTGATAATGTTACCTAGCTAGGTTATGAAATGTCTGCAAAAAAAGAAAAGAAAAAAGCAGCCCAGCTCAGAAAGCACCAAGATCTGAATGGAGAGGAAATAGGAAGTTTCACTGTGTGATATGTCTGCTGAATATTGGTTATAGGTCAACATTTAAATTCTAAACCCTGCTACAGTTCTGCATCTTGGCTTTATGGAAATTAATTTTACTGTTCTTATCCTTATGTACATCATTACCTACACAATTAAAATTAGTGTTCACCCAAAGTATCTCAATTTCATTTATGAAATATTTTAAATTGTACCATCACAGTAACTACAAAAACATGAAGAGTTATTGTGTCTTACCAGCTGAAATTCTCTGCGTCTGTCATAAGCATGCTGGATACCACTATCTGCCCACAACGCTCTTACTGTTGGAAGGTACTGTAAGAAAGTATGGGTTTGCACCATCCCTTGCACCACTTCTGAACGAGTATCAAAGGCCATCATCTTGTCGCCATTTTTTTGATTAGCAGGATTTCCCCATGGAATATGAAGTTTCTCACGAGCATCCACAAGGACTCTAACACCTTCAACAAAATTGAAACTATGTGTTAGGTTCCAAATACAGTTACATTAATCTTAATAATTGGTTACTCTCAAAACACAAAACATGACCCATGTGTACAGACATATTCACACCAAAAATGTAAGAAACTACATGGAAAAACATATATGCAGACTATAAACAGGTAACAATCCCAAATCCACTATAGTAACCTGAACCAGGTTATATACATCGATTTCCTTTTATTTCACCTGCCCTTGAACATATAATAAATACTACTAAAACTTTTTTAAATAATAAAGAAGTCAATTTCTCAAAGTATGATTATGAATTCTTTCTTTAAATTATGAGTGATGGCTGCTCTAAACCTGAGTTGAAATCTATACATTTAGCATGCTGATTCAAGCAAATTTGTAATCACATTTTATAAATTTTAATTTTCTAGTAAAAGGTTTAGTATCAATCATTATTTATTTCCATATATGCAATTCCAGACATTTAAAGTAGCTAAAATTAATTACATGCTTCTGGGAGTTCTACTATATTCAACCCAGCAGCTCTACATCTCATAAGCAAGCAGAGAAACAGCTGCAGCAAACAGGAGAAAATGATAAAATATAGATTAATCATTCTCATATATGTCAAAGTTTAAATGATTTTAAGATGCAACAAGAATTTGATTAAATGCATTGGATTTATTTAAAATACAAATAAATGTGACTACATTTTAAACAACTGTTTTGGTGTTTAAACACCTAAGAAATATTTAAAAATAAAAATTTAAAAAGCAAAATGTGTATTAATTGGTTCAAGACTGAATGGAATATTGATGTACTGCACAGGCTAAGAGACCAAACTATATAATTAAAAAGTTCTTGTTCCACCATTGTCATAGACTTGTTAGACGACAGTCTTATATTAGCACTTCTCTTTTGCTAAAGGTCACCACCTGTATTAGGATAATACATTATATGTATTATTATATTATTAAATATTGTATTAATATTTACTATATATAAAATGTATTATATATTTTATGCATGTAAATTAATATTTATTGTTATCAATATATCAGGGTTATAAAACCCAATCCACTTTGTATAATTCACAGTACGGTATTATATAAAGGCTGATATAATCATTATCTATCATATGATACTGTCATAAAGCATAGAACATGTCTAAGACCACAACAACCAAGAACAAATTATTTTCTGGTTTGAACGTATTATCAATATTTTTTTATCCACAAGATTAGGGCTTTTCAACCAGAGGTACGGGTACCACCTGTGGTACATTGGCACCTAGCAGGTGGTACACAACCATCTTAGAAAAGTGGTAGCGGGGGAGGGGAATGGGCTGAACCAGTGGCAGCATCGCACAAGCCTGAGCAAGAGATGGCTGGAGCTGCAGGGCTGTCAGGGCTCAGCGGAAGCGCCAGGATCAGTGCCGCTTTCCAGCTGATCGGCACTTCTTTGGGGCTGTCAGGGCTCAGTGGAAGCACCAGGATCAGCACCAGGCTCCAGCTGGAGCTCGGGGCTGATCCTGGTGCTTCTGCTGAACCCTGAAGAAGCACCAATCAGCTGGAAAGCAGCATTGATCCTGGCACTTCTGCTGAGCCCAGAAGAAGCGTCGATCAGCTGGAATGTTGCAGCATCTGCAGGGTCTTGTGATTTACATTCAGATGCTTGGCAACTGATTCATATTTATGACAGTCATAGTGTCCCAGGGTCATGTGAAGTGACCAAAACCTGCTGCAACAACCCAGCAGATTGGGGAATAAAAACCAAACACCCCCCCACCCCACCTCCGCTGCCAATCCTCAACAGAAATGCTCACAACAATGAAAACCTTGGACAGGAGGAAGAGCGCCACGGGGTGGGCAGGCAGGTGTCTTGCTTGGCTGTGGCTTGGGGGGCACTTTTTTCAGTGTCATTTAACTTCGAACAGTCACTAATCGAACTGTTGTAAGTCGAGGACTACCTGTACTTTATCACTTTTTTTCCTTTTGGGGGGGGGTCATCAAGTTTTTGACACCTTGGTAGGTGACTGGTGGTACTTGGATATTGCCATATCCTAAAAGTGGTACAATGGGTGAAAAGGTTGAAAAGCCCTGCACAAGACCCAGTGTTGGACAAGGTTGGAAAGACCCAGGTCCAATTCTATTTTCAATCATTAGGTAATCTGGGGTGAGTCACTCTCTTAGGCCAAACTATGTAGCACAGTTGTAGTGGGAAATTGGAAAAGGGAGTAATGCTGCCTTGAGCTCCTGGAAAGATGGATATAATTCTAAACAATAAAATTAAAGGAAATGTCTTGATTTTTATAGCAAAACATATTCTGTTTTTGTTACACATTTTACTGTATTTATTAGATATACAAATTGTCCCATTATCAAAGAAGAAAGTTTGGGAATGTTTGTTTTTATTGTATCCAATAATTTAGAATAGCAATTAGCAGTTGAGGCTTTATGTATAATTTTGAAAAAGTACATGTAAAGTTATTTACCAAGAAATACCATATACTGCTGACAAGCATGAAAAAATATTTTAAAATTTTTTTTTGAATGGCATTCAACTTTTTAGTGATGGAGTGTAAATTATAACAGATACTTTGTATTATAGTGTACTCTTCTGTTCACAGTCTTTTGTAAGAAACTGTAACAGTGGCCTTAATATTCCAGTATGTATGTAACAAAACTAAGTACTTTAGTTGCATTTCCGTTGCATTCACTGAAAAATGATTTTTAGTTTATTCATTCAATATATAGACCAAACTCTATATTTAAGCTAGTTTAGATCTTAAAACAGCCACAGAATGGAAACAAATACAATTCATGTATTTGAAATTGGTTTTATCTTCATTTCCTAATAACTAAATATGAAAATGATATCTATTATAGTTTTCAGTGTCAAATAATATTTATTTAAGCTACAATTTTAAATTGTAGTACAATATATTATCACATATTTCCAGATTTTTAAGACATGGTGCGTATAAGAAAAAAAATTAGCTGATATTCAAAGTTGTTTATATTTCTTGCATGGTATTAAAAGTCAAGAAATAGATTTGCTGTTTGAAAAGTTCCAAATGTATTTCTATGAATTGTTACTGCATGACTAGAGCTAAAGCCTCCACTAGTGCCATGCTCACCATTCTCTCATTTGTTTAACCAGCCAGTGCTTAACCTCTACCTCTCTCTCCAAAATCCCTTTTCACAGTTTCACAGCATCATGTAAAAATAGAAACTGTTATCTCCATGATTACAACTTGCAACAAGAATTCCGTTGGATTTATTTGAAAATGCAATATATCTTTGCATACACAACTAGGCATTCAACAACTCTTTTCATATGACAATGCATAAGAAACATTTTGAAAAGCGAAATGCATGCTTCACACAATATTGGTTTAAAATGACACACGGGTATAGATGAATACATCCATTATATATATTGCTGCTATAAATTTTCATCACATTCTCTGGAAACTGACCTTCTTAACATTTCCCCATGTCCAAATTAAAGCTGCCGTGGAGTTAGACTCGGTCATTTCAACAACCACCTCTCAGAGACAAATAACGTGCAGTCCACATTAGTTTTGTGATCACAATAGCAATGGCTCAACGTGCAGTCCACATTAGTTTTGTGATCACAACAGCAATGGCTCCAAACCTATGCACAATCTATTCCACACATATATCCCTCAGTCTCTGGGCTCCTTCCATCAGCCTCAGTGCAAAAGGCAAACGACTGTTGCAACTTTTGCAGAAGCAAGGCTGTCTGACACAAAGGCTATCCGAAACGCAATCCCGTTAGCCACCGAGGACGACGACGACGCCTTTCGGGGCACAAAGGACGATTCTGACACACACCCCGAGGCCTGCTTGAACAGCTCCCCATCTCTAGCTCAGGCAAAGGCCCCCGTCGAGGCCACATCCGCCAGACAGGACGCCAATTTCGCCAAACTCGCTCCTTTTTTCCGAAAACTGAGGCGAGGACAGGGGCACCTGCCCTCGCTGTTGCCCTCCCCCCTCCCTCGGACGCTACCCCAGCCCGGAGCCCATCTCCTCACAGCCCACTTTCCCCCCCCGTCCACCCCTTCCCAGCATCCGCCACAGGTTTCCCCCTCGAGGGTCCTCTAAAGTGCTACCGCCGAACGGAATCGAAACGAGACCAAAAGTGCGTCGGGCGGAAGGCGGCCGCCTCAGCCATGCTTTTAGGAAGGAAAAAAAAAAAAGGCGTGACTTTTTTTGGGGGGGCGGCCGTGCTCGCGCCTATCTCCTTCACGCGGGGCTTCGGGCGTTGCAACGGCTCCTCTCCCAACGCCGGGGCTTCTTCGGCAGCCCCTCGCTTTTGGTCTCTCTCTCTCTCTCCCGAGGCCGCCTCTCTTCTCGGGGCTTCGTCGCCCGCCCGCCCGCAGCCGCCCCGCTGCCAGTTGCACCTCCGACGGAATCACCTCAGCCCGCTCGCCCGCCTCCCTCTCCTTTGCAGCCCCCCCAACCGTACCCTTGATGACGTTGCTATAGATGGTGGCGCGGAATTCCTCCCGGGCTGGCCGGTCCCAGTCCTGCCCGTGAATGATGCGCATCTGCTTGAGGAAGGTACTCTTGCCGCTTTCGCCCGCGCCCAGCAAAAGGATCTTGACGAGCCGCTTGACATAGGTTTTCTCGCGATAGAGGCACTTATCGATCTCTTTAGACCGCCGCTGCTGTTCGGCCTCGGTGCTGTTCAGCATGCAGCCGGGGAAGCAGCCCGACAGCGAGGACCGCGACGGCAGGAAATCCGCCATCTTAGCGAGCACTGCCAGCCAGGGAGCGGCCGCAGCGGCCCTGCACCGCTCTGCGCCTGCGTGGAACCTGGGTAGCTCGCTCAGGCCGCGCCCCCTCCGATTGCCCCTATGACAGGAGACGCCGCTCAGAGAGCGTCGCGTCCAGAATGCCCAATCAAAGACTCATCCTGCTTACACGTGGTACCTGCTTCTTGTCTTCTAAGTTGGCTGGCCCCGCCCCTGGGTCTAGCACGTGATCTTATCATCTGCTCTGTGTATTCGGAATTTCCCCTTCTTCGGATTTGTCACGTGACGGTTTTTTGGGGACTGATTTATTAAAAAAAAATGGCTCGAACTTTTTGTTGGGGTGCATCGGATGTTTTGCCCTGTCGAGCTGTTGCCTCATTATGATCCTCGACTGATCTCGCGTTTATATTTGCCCCTGTTAGGATGCATATCCAGAATTTATGACATATTAGCTAACAAGGTGTACCTTTCTCCCCACTTCAGTATAAAGTAACATTCCAAAACATTTGAACAACCATCATCCTAATCAGGTGCAGCAATGTCAACCAACAGGCATCAAATGGCCTGGTAAGTTAGGAATTCTGCAGTCTTTGTGCCATAATCAAGAAAGTATTCATTCATAAACGTGATCTCTTCTCATTCATGCTATTCACTTTCTTCTGGGTTGCTCCTATCAACATCCTAAAATCTGTCTTCCAATAGTCCTAAAATCTGCCTGTTGCTTCAGGTGATGGGTGGGGTGGAGAGGGGGCAAGGCCTGAATGGTGACTGCTGGTTCCCTTGGTACTTAGTTCGGTTGCCTGCCCAGCCACCCACAACATCTGTGTCTCAGAGGTTCCTCTGAAAATAATAATAAAAAAGTCAAGTTGTTAGCCAAGACAATGTGATCAAAGCTCAACAGTTGCACATGAAAATCAGGCAGAGCTTCATTTGCAATTTTGTGGCTGCCACCCATATATATATATATATTTATTGTATCTTGTGGATTCCCTAGCTAAAGCTTTTGTAGCTTGTGAGTGGGAGGAGTAGCACTCAGCAGTACAACACACAAAACGGGAAAGCAAGCAATCCAAATTTAGGGCAAATGGGTAGGCCAAATTAAATAGTGTATGGCAGTGTCGACAACAGGTTGGAGGGTAGCAGTGTATTCTTTTGGGCTGCTCTTAACACGTTGAGGAAAGATGAGTGTATACTGTATACAAATCATTCTGGTTGTATTCATGCAAGCTTGATTAGAAACTTAGATTAGTAAATGCACACATTGGCCCATTCTATCTTTTAATTGGAATTCTCGCATAGATCATCAATGACCAGACTAAACCCCTCCAGATTATATTGGGCTTCAACTCCCAGGATTCTAATCCTAAATGAGGGTATTTTCTGGTGCTATGGTATAGCCCAGTGGTGGCAAACCTATGGCACGGGTGCCAGAGGCGGCACTCAGAGCCCTCTCTGTGGGCACACGTGCCGTCGCTCCAGTCCTAGGCCTTCAGCTGGGTTTTATAAAACCTTTTCGCTTTAGGCTTCTGCTGCCATGTGCAAAAAAAAAAAAAAAGGTTCAATCAGTCAATTTCAACTTCTCACGGAAAAAAAAGATCTTGCAAAGTTGGAATTGATTGATTGAACTTTTTAGTCCCACCCAGTCTGCCATTACCACCACAGCCACGCCCACCCAATGGGCCACACCCACCCAGCACTCGACGATGCATAAGTGGGTTTTGGGTTGCAGTTTGGGCACTCAGTCTCTAAAAGGTTCGCCATCACTGGTATAGCCCCTTCAGAATGTTTTCAAACAGCAGTCAGGAGTTTCAAACACTTATATGAACACTGAGAAGAAAACATCATTTATATAAATTGTGTACTTTGCCTTTTATTGAATACTTAGAATAGCATCTGAAACTCTGCTCAAAGTAATTATTTGTCTATGCAATTTTACACAGAGAAAGTCTTCTTTCTTGAAACTAGTTTCAAAACAGTAGACTCCATGTAAAATAGGAAATAGATTTTTAAGAAACAGAAGATACAAATGTGGGAATAGAACTCCCGAGCAGGTGTTTGAAACCTGGTTAGTCTTGACTGCCAATGGTTTCAGAGGCAATTAAGAGCAAAAAAAAAATAAATAAATAAAAAATGACAGGTTCCCTTCCTTCTACTGTCTCTGCTCTTTCAGTCAGCCTATTGCAAAGTAACATCATTTTTTCTTAAAAAATCCAAATGGTCCAATGATACATTATGCCTGGAGTACTCTGTTTAAATACTATGTTGTGTCCAAATAAATAATCTAGACTATAAATTAATACGATGGCCTGATTCATATAACATTCTAAGACAATGGCTAAATTCCCCAGGATATTAAACTACAAAGTATCCAAAATGATTTTACTGTTACCTAAGTTGTTTTGTGAATTCAGCTGTTTATTATAACATATTGTTTTATACCTTAATTTTCTTCATCAATTAAATGGAATATATCCTAAGAGGGGAGGATTAGGGTGGCCAGAACTGTACCTCTTTGCTGTCATTTTGAGGTTGTCCAGATTGATAACTTAATTCCCAGGTTTGGGAGAGGGGACATGGAATAGGAAAAGTCAGAAGAGAATTATATGTAGGAAGTACAAAGAACAATAATTATCTATAAAGAGTATCATCAAACCACATATAAGAATCAGTGGTATCCATAGAACAATTGAGGAAAAATGGCAACTCCTCACAATATTCTGTCACTGATCTAAATGCCAGTTCAGGAGCAAAAGCATTACAAACATCAATTTCTTTCATGAAACAGCTGTATCAGAACTTAAAACATTTTACACATATGGATTATGCATGTTAATAAACTTGTCTATGCAAAAATATGTAATATTCAGCAACTCAACTTTTTTTGAGTTTCTAGTTTTTTCCAATCTGAGTGTGTTCTTCTGTATGGCTTCCTTTGATAAATACAAAGTATAAATACAAATACAAATACAAATGTCTGGAAAGCTGGACTTCTTCCTAAGGAATAAAAAATAATGCATACACCAATCATCATTATTTATTATTTATTAATTTTATTTGCTGCCCATCTCACCACAAGGTGACTCTGAGCAGCTTACAAGGTTAAAAGCAATAAAACTGTGTGTGTGTAATAATATTTATTAAATTTATTCATCATCATCATCTATATCATCTATACGAGCCCTTGGGAATACAATGGCATAGAAATGTTAATAAATAAATAATTCCATATATCTCTATATAATTTATTTAAAAATATTTCTCTTTGTTGGATTTACATATGCTAGACACAGAGCAGCTGTTCAGTGGTTTTAGTTTTGTGTTCCCTATAACCAGTCAATAAGCCACAAGTTAGTGGTGGTGTTATAACAATATTTGCAAGAATCTTACTTATTTCATCATTTCCAGTTACATATGTTTATTCCAATATCTGATCAGCTAGTATAGCATGTTGATTAAAGTATCAGATTGATGGGGATAAAATTGGAGAAGACTGCTTTGAGCTTTCTAAAGAAAAGTAGGAAATATTTTTTTAAAAAGGAACAAATCTTTAATTTGGTCTCATATTCTGTATTATTTCCACAAGTGTGAGTAAATCAAACCACAAATAAAACGGATTGTAACTAGTCGCGTTATATTTAAATGTGGAAAAAAATGTGTCTGTGAACCTATTCAACCAAGTAGCACGGAGATTTCCTCCCGTAATTTTATCTTGTGCCGATGTGCATTTGGCTAACACTGTCTAACCCTAGCATTGTTTAATTTAGAACAATGCAAATTCTCTTTGCTACCAGCTCAGTCCTGTAAAAAGATGAAAGGGCTCCCCCTACTGCTGGCAGGTAGTAAGCACAACCTCGCTCATGCAAATAAAACCAGAGTGCCTCGTGTTGATTGGCTACAGCAAGACTGTGCCTGGTTCCACGGCGCTTTTATTCTGTAGCCTCCCGGGTTTCAGCACTGTAATGCAGTTCGCCTGAAATCCCTAAGCCTATCACCACCTTTTTCTCTGCAATTGGTGAAAGCTCATATATTGCTTTTTTTTTTTTTTTTTAAATTCTTTTGCTTAATAAAGTAGATCACGATGACCATCACGCAGATAGATCAAGGACAGCGGTACAGGCCGAGAATGGCATTCTTGAAAAAGGTAAAAAAGCCAGCCTTGTTTTCAAGGTTTATTTTATATTTAGGACCTACACCACCTTATAATTGGAAGAACAGGAAACCTCGGGCACAGCTCTAAAACCTCCGATTGGCATGCTGTATCACCAAGGTTTGGCTGTGAGAGAGAAGGGGATTTTGTCTCCGAGTAGGTGTGTGATTTGTTACAGTCTTCAGAAATCTTGTCATTAGTTCAGTCTTTCATAGCGATTTATTTACCTCTGTTTATTTTATTTTCTTTGCGTGGACCTTTGCTGCGGTGTGATGTCTTTGTATTCTCTGGCATTTGAAAAGGAGAGCAACCTGTTACAGAACCACCTTTGTAGCTATGCCAGAAGCTGCTTAAAATAACATTGACAAGTATGGGTGCCTATCAGCTCTTGAACGCTGTGTTATTCTCTTGTTAATTATAATCCCTGTTATTTTGCATGTCCATGCTGCCTTTATTTCTGTTCGGAACTTCGGAGTTTGAAAACAGTTTAATTCTTCATCCACCTCTGGCTATAAATAATTTAAAACATAAAAGTCACAACCCTTGAAGTTTACAGCATTACACTTATTAATCACTATAGGTTAACCTGGACCTCCTTCTGTGAGGGAGAGGGGCGATTCAAAAATGTGATAAATAAAATTAAAAATATTCCCCTTTCCTTTGGTTCCCTATGAAACTGCTAAAAGAACTCCTTCCCTTATACCAATCTACTCATGCTCACAATCACATTTTTATTTCCAATACAGCTGGCAGTGTCATGAGGTAGGAACTTCTCTATAGCAACAGTCCTATTATAGAATGTCAAGAAGAAGTACATCATGTTGAATCTAGGCCAGGTTTACCTGGCTTTCATTCCTGGTTAGTGGCTAGTGGGTTCAGAGCTGTTTTTCTCAACACAATTTTCTACATTTTACGGAATATTATTCGTGCTTCTGTCTACATTTTATTTTTGTCCTTTATTCATGGTACCTTGATTTTCTTTTTTGAATGAACTGATATTGATTTTGAATGATTTGAATTATGATGTGAAACCCAACCAAGTTTACGCCATACTTTTTTAAAAAAAGACCATCAATTCTTTTTTTTAAAAAAGACCACCAATTTTGTCATCCAAAATTGGTGGGTTTTTTTTTTCTAATGGAGTAAACTTGGTTAGGTTGCTTAACAGGGCACTTTGTTGATATCTCTGCAGTGCCTATGAAATCATTTTTATAGGAGTACTATTGGTCTGTAAGACTAAACAGATTAGCACCAATTTATTTAAGGAATTTTCTTTTTCATAAAAACCCTTCATATTTTGCAGAGGATTCATTGCCTATCATACCACAGTTTGTATTTCTTTGCCTATAGTGCAGAAAAGAGCATTTTTACCATGACATCTACCACCAGTATGTATAATTCTCTTACTTCTGAGACTCGGCTAGTTTGGCTGGAATGTTTCAGCCAGTGATTTGTTGATTGGCAAGTATTCTTTTGCCTAGTAGATTTGCCTAATATATATATAATAGATGAAACAATAATAGTATGATATTGTTGTGAACTACTTTGGGATTTTCTATGGAAAGGAAAAGTGGTATATAAATTTAAAAGAAAGTTATTGACAGAGATCTGTTCCCTGCCTATTCATAGCTGCTTTGATGAAGAGGCTGAATATTCCTTTTATTACCTGCGGTTTGCCCAGCTTTTAAGGGTAATAGACTATAAAGTTTATCACTTTCCAACAACATGTTGATGCATAACTAGTTATGAATTTATTATCTCCTTTTCCCAAATCATCTATAGAAAACAATAATGGTAGAATGTAGAAAAAGGTTACGTAGACAAGACATGAAGCTCACTTTTCTCCTATGAATGTTTCCCTTCTCTTGTCTGAGGTTTATTGTGCTAAATTTGAATTTACAGAGACACAAACAACCACCCATTTTTAGGGCTATTAGATCTAGGCTGTAAAAGTCCAATCAGCCACTAGTGGGCAACAAAGAGTTAGGTTTTCTTGTAGCTCCTCACTGTGCTGTAATGATTCTTGGGTTTCTTGTTGATAACCCTATTATTTCAGGTGTATGTACTATATAGTCTAGACCAGGGCTTTTCAACCAGTGGTACGGGTACCACCTGTGGTACATTGGCACCTGGCAGGTGGTAAGCGACTATCCTAGAAAAGTGGTAGCGGGGGAGGGGAATGAGCTGAACCGGTGGCAGTACCGCACAAGCCTGAGCAAGAGATGGCTGGAACTGCAGAGCTGTCAGGGCTCAGCGGAAGCGCCAGGATCAGTGCCGCTTTCCAGCTGATCGGTGCTTCTTCGGGGCTGTCAGGGCTCAGTGGTAGCGCCAGGATCAGCTCCAGGCTCCGGCTGGAGCTCGGCGCTGATCCTGGTGCTTCTGCTGAGCCCTGAAGAAGCACCAATAAGCTGGAGCTCAGTGTTGATCCTGGCACTTCTGCTGAGCCCAGAAGAAGTGCCGATCAGCTGGAATGTTGCAGTATCTCCAGGGTCTTGTGATTTACATTCAGATGCTTGGCAACTGATTCATATTTATGATGGTCACAGTGTCCCAGGGTCATGTGAAGTGACCAAAACCTGCTGCAACCACCCAGCAGACGGGGGGAATAAAAACCAAACACCCCCACCCCACCCCCGCTGCCAATCCTCAACAGAAATGCTCACAACATTGAAAACCTCGGACAGGAGGAAGAGCGCCGCCGGGCGGGCAGGTGTCTTGCTCGGCTGTGGCTTGGGGGCACTTTTTTCAGTGCCATTGTAACTTCAAACAGTCACTAAGCGAACTGTTGTAAGTCGAGGACTACCTGTACTTTATCACTTTTTTCCTTTTTTTTTTTTGGTCATCAAGTTTTTGACACCTTGCTAGGCGACTGGTGGTACTCAGATGTTGCCATATCCTAAAAGTGGTACAATGGGTGAAAAGGTTGAAAAGCCCTGGTCTAGACTCTAGCACATTCATATCGAAACACTTTTTGCTGAGCAGTAGTTAAGAAAAGTTGGTAAAAATATAGGTTTAAAAAAAACTGAGAGGAAATCTAATTTTCTTCTAATATTTGTTCCACATTGCAAATATATATATTTACACACGCAAAGTGACAATATCTTTCCTTTTTCCCAGATGCTGTCATGATTGTTATGGGTATGAAAGAATGACTGTGGGAGACAGGAAGTGGACACGTAGCCTAGGGCAGAGGTCCCCAACCTTTTGGGTACCAGGGACGGATCCGTGGAGAAAGGTTTTCCACAGACCGAATGGGGCGTGGTTTTGTGTGCTGCCTGCATCCCACAGATGGGGCTTTGCTTGTTTGTGTGGACCGGTTGCTGGCATGCCGCTACCCAGTACTGGTCCACAGACCAGGGATTGGGGATCCCTGGCCTAGGGAACAGTTTGATAAGAGGTAGTTTATTCTGCAGGTGAGGGGAAAGTGGGGGAAGCATTTCAGAAGGGACCTTCTCTAGCTTTTCACAGACTAAAAACAGAGAAGGAGAAAAATTGCAAAATTCCGCAAATGTAACCTTACAATAAAGTAGGATTAATTCATCTGGGGTGTTCTTCTTGTCTGGACTATTTCACAAGGTTGACATAATAACTTTAAAGATTCAATTTCACCGTGTTCTTTCTGCTTGGGTAATTTGAAGGGAGGAAAATAACATGTGATCCTCAAATTATGACCACAATTGAGCCCAGCTTTTCTGTTGCTAAGCGAGATAGTTGTGAGTTTTGCCCCATTTTGCAACCTTTCTTGTCACAGTTGTTAAGTGAATCACTGCGGTTATTAAGTGAATCTGGCTTCCCCACTGACTTTGCTTGTCAGAAGGTCACAAAAGATGGTTACATGACCCCGGGACACTGCAACCGTCATAAATATGAACCAACTTCCAGGCACCTGAATTTTGATCACATGACCAAGGGGATGCTGCAACAGTTGTAAGTGTGGAAAATGGTTATAAGTCACTTTTTTCAGTGCCGTTGTAATTTTGAACAGTCACTAAACAAATGGATGTAAGTCAAGGACGACCTGTATCATTTTGTGAACTACAGGCCACGGTTTTATAGAAAGGTACATTTTGAGAGAAGAGAAAAACAATTTTGCCACAGAGGGTTTTTGTGTGTGTGTGATCTGATACAAAAGGGAGGCCCCCTGACAGAGGGCAGCTGATCATAATTATATTTTGCTGGGAGACTGTGAAATAAGGATCAGCCTGCAAAGTATTTATCATATCTGAGAATTTGCAATATTTTAGATTGTTTTGGTTGTGCATACCATCTTGCCAGGCCTGACATGGGAAGTTTAACTCTATAACTCTTTCATAGGAAACTTATTGAGTCTGTCTTGATTTATACATGACACTGACTCATAAGCCAAGTGTCAGGCACAAGCCACCAGATCCATATGCGACGGGTTCGAGGCAGTGGTGGGATTCAGCCAGTTCGCACTAGTTCGGCAGAACCGGTAGCTAATTTTTTGTTGCCCAGGCCCAGAACAGACTTCTGGAAGCGGCATCCACACAGAGAACTGGTTGTTCACATCTTTGAATCCCACCACTGGTTCAGGGTGACTATTGTGTTCTATCTATGTACAAGAATCTCTCCAGACTACTTGCCTTCTCTTGGGAACAAACAGATAAGATTCCATGGAACATTTTTTTGGGGGGGGATGGGCAGGTCAGGCCTCTCGAGACTGCACAAGGATTCAAGGCTAGCTTCTTGCTTGAACCCTCCTCCTTCCCTGGCTGGGAGCTTCCCAATACCAAGCCACGAAGATGGTTAGAACTATAATGACTGAGTACATGTGCTCCGCTAAGTGGAAAGCATGCAGACTTTGGCCTTTAGTGTAATGCATCATCATCCCAGTCTATAATTCGTAAATCTACTGTTTTTATTCCAGAAGTATAATCCCTTTTATAAAAGAGGATTGGGGATTGCTATCCTTTTTTAAAGTTAATTAGGTAGTTATGATAGCTCATTTCAGATGCAATATTGTACAGAGTTGGATGATAAATATTCTTGGGGAAATCTAATTTACTTCTCAGGAAATGTTGCAGAAAATGTTTTATAAGCTTTGAGCACTAGAATATCCACTTACCACTTGGGTAACAGCAAAAAGTAAACTACATGAAACCTATCTTCAATAAATATGGAAGAAAAGACACTAAGGAGGTATCCATAATATAAACTATTTGTGGAATTCAGATTTATTGGAATGGGATTAAACTAAGATTTTTAGACTGAAAAATGAAAAATCTTGTGGTTTTTTGGTGTCTTTTTCTATTATAGGTAGTCCTCGACTTAACAAGCAGAATGTAAAATGGTGCAAAACTCACTTAACAACTGTCTTGCTTAGCAACAGAAATTTTGGGTTCAATTTTGGTTGTATGTCGAGCGCTACCTGTACAAGGAAGGAAAACGTGTGATCCCAAATGTTGCTGAATTACAACTCCTACTATCTAAAATACTGATTATAATGGCATAGCCAGGGATTATATAGTTCAGCAGCTGCTAAAAGATGAGAGGTTCTCATTCCTTAGTCTATATTAACTCCGTGCATTTATGATAAACAACCACAGTTGGTATAACTTAAGATCGGATTCTTGTTTATTTCTATATCTATTAATTAAATTGAACAGCTAGCATAGTGTGGTGGATAGAGATCTGGTTAAAGATTTGGTCTAGGAGCAGGGAGACCCAGGTTTTAATCCTCCCTTAGGGCTGGAAGCCTACGAGATGACCTTCTGTCAATCACTCCCTCTCAGCTCTAATCGGTGTGAGGCTCCTGTAATAAGCTTGCTGATTGACAAAATCTCTCATTGCATCATGTACTAACAGTGTTAATAACAATAGGAATTAGGCAAGTGCAGTGTAGAAACAAGCAGATCCTACAAACCAGTGGGACATAACCTAAGATCAGTAGCTATTCATTCAATTGGTATTATGCCAATTTAAAAGAATTTAAAGTTTTCTGAATATAGAAATGCCTGGCTATAATGTATAGACATCTCATTTCTCTTCAGGTTTCTGGCACAATGAATGTAAGTACAGTAAAGTTTTTTTTAAAGGAACTGGATTTATTGTCTTTAAGCATGAGAAAATTAAAACTGTTCACAATACGTGTGAGTTTAATTCAGAAAAATAAAAATAACCTTTGAAAGAAGGAATACGATGCTTGATATTGCAGTTTTGTACATAATCTATTAAACAGATCCAAAACCACTGTCCAACTATTTTGAGTCAGTGTTAATTACTAATTACTAGATCTGCTTCAAAATTAAAAGCGGATTCTTTACCAGTCAGCCAAAACTTTTTAGTGGCTTTCAGAGGCCACTAATTATCTGGTGTAGATATGGAAGCATTACATATCCATGTATTTATGGTAAGCAATCACTATCAGCATAATGTTACCATTAACATCTTATTAAGCGTCTTGTCTGAAATATAGATTTACTGGTGCGCTCAGCTAGTTTTGGCTATAATCTTCATAACCCCTTGCTTAACTGGACTTTAATTTGGACTCATTCACTGAGCAAGTGTTGGATTTGATGACTTTAGTGCAGTGGTTCTCAACCTTTTTAATGCGGCGACCCCCAACCGGTT